CTGCAAGAAATAATTATTTGGAAGTACTTAAATACTTACATTCTATAGAATGTAAAGGTACAGATTAATACTTTTGATACACATAGTGACTATAAATTCTATTGGTGATAAAGTTAAGCAATGCTTCTACACATAAACAAAATTTTAAATAAATAAATCCCAGCGCATGCGCTTAAGAAACAGCAAGAAAATCACGTGACATTTTTCGACATGAAATAAAAATTTAACACTTATTTAAAAAAATTCAATTTTTTTTCATTTTTAAAAATTGAAAAATTTTATTTCTTATCTAAATAATTTGTACACAATAGGGATAACATTGAACCATATATTAATATTAATATATGGTTGAAAATATGGTTGAAAATGAAAATGAGCTAGAACCGGCATTCTCTAACTACTCAAGATTCGCAAACATGAAAACAATATAAATACTGTGTCGTTTAAGAAGCGTGAATAATATTCTTACAAATCGGTACTTATAAGTATATTTGTACTTAAGTTTTTTATGCATGTTTTATTCAATTATTTTTAATCTTTTTTTCTTAATATTTTTTTCTTAACTTTCATAAATGCAGCTGGAAAGTCATGATCTGTTTATCTTTTTTTATCAAAAATTTCATGAGTTAATTCAAATATTCAATTCCTTAGTTTAGTTTAACTTGATAACTAGAAATATGAACCCCGAATACAGAGGAAATTCTTTTAAAAAATACTGAAGTTCAAAATTAAAATATGAAGAGAAAAAAAAGTAGATGTGGAAAGGAATACTTCTTAGTCGGTAAACCAGCGAAGATGCCCTCAGTTCAACTTCCAACCCGGGCTTATGTTATTAAGCATTTCCTCTACTTAAAGGAAAAAATTGGTTTCAATTCAGAAAAAAAGCGACTTGTTGCTTGCTCTTTAAATAACAGTTTCAGGTTACTTTATACATTTTACCTTTGACGAGACTTAACATTTTTTTAAAAAGTTTTACTAGCTGTTCGTAATTAATAAACTATGCTTTTAATAGTTTGAATTTTTTCTATTTTAAAAATAAAATAAAACTAAATTATTTGTCATTCTGTACAGTGTACCACTGCAGTTACTGCATGTAGCAAGGAATGTATTTTTTGGGATTATTGTTTCCATGGCTAAGATCCGGTTTCTAAATGATTGAACCAGTTACTCTGCAAAGAAATCTATTTAAATATATTAATAGATATTTGAACCTTATAAAGAGTCAGGATAAAATTCAAAAAGGATATACTCAATCTCGTGCTGAGTGAAAAAAGCTGTTGCAATATCCTAGACCCAAGGCCTATGATTTTGATAGGAAAAATAATACTGGGATTATAAGAAGTAAAGAAGAGTTTGTCTTGTTCGAAGAACCGCCTACCCTTGCAGATTATGTTGGTTCTGAGTCTTGGCTAATTTTTGATATTCTTGAGCATAATGAGCTGCAAGTTAAATGGCTTTTCTTCCCTTCTGCTGCATGGAACGTTGACCCTGATTTCTTAGCTTTTTAAACTTTTGTTAAAAATTTGGCGGTTGTAAATGATGTGGCAGAGAGAGCTGTAAAGTCAGTTCAAGAAGCATTGCAAATGACGTAAAACGAAAAGAAATTGCAAAAGATGCTTTTAGTTAAGAGTAAAATTGATAAACCAGTTTGTCGAACTAAAGCAGCATACAAAAAGGCTGCCGAACAGCTAACTCCAGCTGAGAAGCTTAGTATCATTTATGAGCAAGTAGTTTTTGAGCCAACAGAGTTGTCTCCATCCAGTGATAGCGAATTTGACAGCAGCATTGATATTGTGGAAGATATTGATGTTTAGGAGGGTCTATGGGCCGAGAATGTTCTTAACAATTTGGAAATCTAATTCATTTTTTGAAACATTTTTACAAAACAATTATAGTAGTAAGGTTTAATTCCACTTTGGTTTGAATATTTGTCATAAAAAATGTAAATATTCTAAATTAATAAAACATTATGTAAGTAGAACAAGTTTGGCTACATGGGTTTAAATGGCATGAGGGGCCCTACTCCTCAGGAAGGTGGAATGGCTGCCAAGCTGAATTAAAAAGGAGGGGGGGACTGCCGAGCTAGTCTTTAAAAGCGTCAAAAATATATATTAAAATTATAACATCGCGAGGCGGAAGGTATTTGTAATGGTTTATGGAAATAAAGTTGCTTTGGTCAAGTGAAGCATCTGTTAAGTGGTTTATAAATAAGTTAGCTATTTCAAGCTCTGATTCAATTAATAAATTATTTTTTTCAAGTTTTATCGAATCATCATTACAAGATCTTTGAAAAGCTTTGTTAAGAACAATCCTTGTTTTCTTACTGTCACCTTTACAATTTATTAGCTGTTGCTTAACGAGGTTATCTTTTTGAATATAGATATTTTTTTTATAACTTTTCTTATTTTGAACTAAGATATGCTTTAAGTCATGTCTTCCACTTCTAACTTTAGAGCTTAAATTTGTAATATACTTTCTTGATTCAAGCAATTCTCTGTTTATCCACTCTTTTTTTGGTAAAAATCTCCAATTATTTGACATTGTTTTTACTGGTGCTGCTATGTATAACTCATTCTGGATTTTTTTGACAAATTTTTTGTAACTTGTCTCAATGCTTTCATTTGTGTAGTAATTGTCCAACTTTATTTAAATTGAATTACAAGTTCCTGCATTTAGTTTCCTAAACCTCACCTTTATTTTTTTTTTTATCAAAGAAGTCATGTATTGTAAATAAAACAACTTGATGATCCGTTATTCCGTAATTATGAATTATTGCTTTAACGTTTGTTTAATTCTTATTAATCAAAACATGATCAAAGCATTTACCAGAAATTAATCTAGTTGGTCGATACATAATATTTATGTACTTTTTTTGTAGATTCGCGTAATCAAGAGAAGTTATTGAATTAAGTAAGTTGATGTTGAAATCACCGCAGAATATTGTGTTGATACTATTATTTTCTAAAATAAATTTATTAAATTATTAGTTAAACAATCAACCTTAGTTTCTCTTGCTTTAATCCACCTTATAAATGTTAACAATTTTCCACTTGTTATTTCCCCAAAACTCAATTCCCATAGATTCATAATTCATTTTTTCATAAAAGCCAGTATTAATTACTTTAAAATTATTCCCGATTCTAACATAAGCTCCAGTTCCACCACTTCTTGAAATTCTTTTGAATAAAACCGGACCAGTAAAGTTATTTAATTTATAGTGTATAAAATTTTTAGTTTGCCATACTTTTTGCAAAATAATTATATTGGCATCAACGTTATTATAAAAAAATCTTTTAATAATTCAAAATTACTACTAAGACTGCGTATATAAATACAGTTGCTTCTTAAGTGAGTTAACTTAGGTTTTTCCTTGATTTCATCAGTCATTAGACTAAATTTCTTTGATTTCTTCTTTATCTTAATAAACTCAAAGATACTTTTAATAATCTCACAATTCTTTAATTGCTATTGCTTAGATAATTTAACGACTTTATTCTTTCATATTCCGTAATAAATACACTTGTCCGTATTTACTGTGTTTTTTGACATTTTTTCCTTAGCTGTTTAGTTATAACTCTTTCTGATTCAGTTAGATCAGCATTTAAATAAATGTTTTTGTACTCTTCAAAATTTTTTAGCTTTCTTGCACACTTTAATACTTGATTTCTAGCTACACGACTTTCCAAATCTACAACAATCGGTGCATGATTAGCATCACGTGACTTTAGACGAAAATCCTATTTAATTGTTACACTCGCACCTATCATATATGTCAAATTCTTAATAAGCGCCATATCCTCTTCATTACTAAAAGAAGCTTCTGGATTGTTCTGCATATCCAAACCAAAAACAATAAAGTTACTCGATCTTTTTGCGCGTTCATCTGATTCCATTGTAATCATGTTTATAAATTCTATTTGCTCTTTTGATTTCTTAGTTGTGCCAGACGGAAGCCCTCGTTTTCGAGAAATTTCGAGAGATTTTTAAGTCGCTGATTTAACGAATCACTTTGACTATTAAATTTATAACTTTGTTCAGACTTTTTTAGGTGAATAGCTAAAGAGCTGATGACATCATCACATTTTAATCTTGATTTTATGTCCAGTTTATTAATAGTTTTTTTTATTAGTTTTTAAAATATTTAATTTATTAGTTCCTGTTCGAACAAATAATGCAAATACTATCCGAAGTTAGAACGTTAAAAAAGTTATTTTTAAATGAATGTTACTTGCTTTGGTAATTTTATTCAGAATTTTGCTGATCTTTTTTATATCTGATTGTTAATGTTTTTCAGTATTAAAGATGTCTAAAGCTAGAAATTTTTTTTATTGTTTTACAGGTTTAACCAAGACTATATAAGTTTTTAAATAAAGATTTAGAGACTGATTATTTTAGGTGTGGTTCTTTAAACAATTAATTTAAATAGTTTGAGAGTCATAATTTTGTCTCAAACTTTGAAACAAAATTATGACTCTCAAACTATGTAACTTTGACTCTCAAATTATGTAACAAACTATGTAACTTTGACTATCACACTATGTAACAAAATTATGACTCTCAAACTATTCACTTTGAGTTAAAGTGAATGTCTTTTTTAGCTTTTTTGCGTTGTTTTGCTTTTGTTTGTTTTATCGTAGTTTTTAACTATATGAGCACCACCTAACAAACTCCATGAAGTTAAAAGGAATTTTGCAAATGTTGTCAATATGGATAAAAAAAAAAAAGAACATTTTTAACTTATTTAAGATGCAAAAATATTTTCATAGCTCAAAAAAGTATAATATTAAATAAAATTTATTTATATTTAAAGAATTGGTATTTTTTATATGTGAAAAAATAAATTAGTCACAATTTATTGCTCGAGAATAAATTGTAATTCATTGTGGTCTGTTAAATGTGAAAAAGGTGGTTTAAAATAATTATACTTTAAAAAATGCGGTACATAATATTATCCACAATGCAATACTTTTTGTATCTTCAATATTATAATATAGGCTTTAAGATTGCGTTTGAATAAAAATAAATAAAAAAGACGTGTGTGCGACAGGGATTTGTCGAAAAGCAATTGAAGTTTTTAAATTCATCAACTAATTAATGACTTCTAACTATTTGAAAAAAAAATTGTTTTCTGAATAATCTGTGAAAAATCATTTAATAATTGCTGCAGTTTTTTGCTATCACTTTACAACGAAGATAATCATCAAGGTGATATGAACGATCTTGTGGAATTCCTATCGAAAATAAATATGCTTTGAACACTTTCAATTTGAAGTTAATAAATAAACTCTAGAAAATGTCTTCAATACATTACAAGTTTCGTAGCAATTTGGAGTATAACACGATTACATTTGATAGTCAAGCCGTATCTTTAAATGACTTAAGAGACGCAATAATGTTACAGAAAAAAATTGCTAAGTCTCCTGATTATACCCTGGAAATTACAAATGCGCAAACAAAAGAAGGTATGAAGCATTTCAGATGCTGAGAAGTGCTTCTTGCCAGTTTAAAAAATTCATAACAATTCACGTTTAAAATAATTATTGTAAAGTATCTAACTAGTTAATCTGTAAAATACCAGTACTATATAGTAAGGTCTTACCATATGTTCTCTTACTATACATGAATTTACTAATTATGGTTAAGAAGTTTACAGTTTTATGCTTTTTATTAGTTACATATAAACATTCTTAGAATTAAATTATTAAATCTCAAAAGCAATAAAGTTTTATCTCAAAAAGCAGTAAATAAATTTGCAGCTGGATATTTTTTAACAGACATTTTAATTTGTTCAGTATATTTTCATAAGTTTTTGTCAATATCCTGGCAACAGTTAACAAGAAATCTATTATTGTCTATATTAATATCATGTTGTTTTTTTAAGTTATGAAAGTTATTATGATTAACTTTTTTTTTTTTGTTAATTGTTTGCATTGGATTGAATCCGATAAATAGATCCATTAGGTTTATGCTAACTATGTAGAAAAAAGCTAAATCTTAATTTTCCATTTTTAAGTATGTTAAAATATTAGATTTTACTAATTAATTTGTTCCTAGACCACTAAGCATTTTTTTTTTAAATTCTTTTAGCGTAATACCAGTGAGTGATATAAAGAATAATTGTTTTTAAAATAATTACTTCAATTCTTTTGGCTGTACCAAGCATTTTCCTATTTATGCACACTTTTAAGTTTATATTTTAATCTAAACGAAATGCTATTATTATTAGTTATTGCTAGTATTAGATATAGTCTATCAAAATCCTTAATCTAGTTTTTAGTTAACAATAAGTAAAAAATTTTATGCATATTAGGTTTAGCTATTTCTTTGAGATTGCTTCTTTTACAAATGAGATGTGCTTCTTTTGCAATTGTGCTTTTGAGATGTACTTCTTTTACAATCTTTGAGATGTGCTTCTATTACAAAATAAATTTGTTTATACTTTATATAAAATAAAGTTTGTACTTAAGATAAAATAAAAAGTTTGATTTTTTTGAGAAATAATTATAATTGCAATAATACTTACCTCTATAAAATAATTAGAATTTCTTGTTAACAGTTAATAGGTATTCTTCAAAGCTAATTTTGTTCAAGAATTTAGCAAAAATATTTGTGATATATGTGTATATATATATATATATATATATATATATATATATATATATATATATATATATATATATATATATATATATCACAAATATATATATATATCACAAATTTATATATATATATATATATATATATATATATATATATATTCACACACATACATACATGAATACATATAAATATGCATGTAACTAGACTGCATCTTTTGTGGTGTGCTCTTATTCCATTGTGGCTTTGTTTTACATGGTTTGTGTTCTTAAAAGTGTCATAAAAGTGGTACCATATGCAACAAAAACAGAACTATCATAATTTTTAGTTTATTGTTATAGAAGTTTATGTACCTTTATAAAAAAAAATCATAAAATTTTGTTTTTTCTTATTTTTAATCAAATAAATTAGTAAGAGAAGATAAAATACTAGTTAGAGAATAAATTAAAAATTTTTTACTATGAATTTAAACTGGCAAAAGTACATCTCTTATAAGAATATTTTATATGATTTAGTCTATGCCAATTTGTAGTTGTTATATTATATTGTAAACTTTTTAGAGAATATATTTGATGCCAAATATATGTGAGTCACATATTAAACTTTTATGTGTCTGTTTACTTGTCTATACTTAAATAATCCCAAGTCCCTTATAATAAGTCCCTCTATATAAATCTTTTCAAAATGATTAAAGAAATTTTGAAAAAGTTTTTTATTAAGTAACATTGTAACAAGAAACCTGTAGTTGTGATAAGGCATTCAGTTTTAGTAACCAAGCTATTTATTGACATTTAAAGTCAATAACTGAATATGATCCAGTATTTCATTTTGGTGACGATAATGTTATTTAGTAGAAAATGAACTGGAAAAGGTAACACTTTTTGTTCTTTGATTTTTTGAATGTACTTATTGTATTTAATTTTAAAGTAGAAATTTTTTTAAAAAACTTAAAAAAAGATTTGTATAAACTAATATCTTTTTGATTTAAAAGAAATAAAAACAGTATAAGTTAAAATAAGTCATAATTCTTTAATTAAAAAAATATATAAATCTTATAAGTTAAGATTTAATTTTTTAACTATGTTGTTACAGGTTTCTTTTTTTAAATTATTTACCAATACGTTGTTATTAAGATCAAAATAATAAACTTTCTGTTTACGAAGATTTTTTAAATATGCAACATTTGTTTTTATTTAATATATCAAAGTAGTGTTTTAGTTATCTCATCCATTTGCTGTTCATGAATATTTAAATAAAAAATGTTTACATCTTTTTATTATCTACAATATCTTCTCATGTAAAAAAAAAAATATCAAATATTTATGAAATTAGGGCTATTTACATAGTTTGTAATTAAGGGCTAGGTTAGGAAATTAAGACTATTTACATAGTGTTTAAAGTCCTTGCACTTATTAGAATTCACTTGCACAATTGATACATTCAGGGTTCTGAGGAGCAACATGTCACTTAATTTTATGTTATGACATTCAAATTTTATGTTATGGTATGGAAAGAATTGAAAAGCCATTATTTGGTATTTTATTATTTATTCTTATTGTATAAAAAGTATAATAATGCATTAAACTAAAATTTAATTATAGTTAATTAAAATTGTTATGAATTTTATATATACCAGGCGCTATACTAGACTGTTTTCGACAGTGTCAACCGAATAAGGGCACGAAAAAGAAAAAACTTTTATTATGGAACTTTCAGTTTAATGCCTATGGCAATCAGCCATATATTACAAAATTTTAATTTTTGTTATGTATGACTTATGTTTGCCATTAGGCATGAAATTTAAAGTTTCACAATAAAAGTTTTTTTATTTCTTTTTTAATTATAAACCACTCTGTTTTAAAATTTATATAAAATCAAATTAAATTTCCTATATTTAGCACTTTTCAATGAACAAGAGTTTTGTATTACTTTAATACAACACTACATTGAATAATATATATATATATATATATATATATATATATATATATATATATATATATATATATATATATATATATATATATATATATATATATATATATATATTAGTGGTAGTCATTTTGAGGGAATTTTTAAAAATGAAGTACATACCCAACTAAAGTTTGAGCAAATATGCTAAAACTTTGTTAAAATTTTTTTAGGTCAATGGGATGACTTTTAAGTCCCCCTCAAGACTAAAGTTGTTCAGAAATTGTACTTCAAAAAAGGAAAAATGGGTGTTTAGGTTGTTAAAAGGGATTTAAATGAAAAAATTATTTCCTTTTTTTAACTTTTTTCTAATTTTTTATTTATATTTTTATTTTAGAAGGGTATCATGTTTTTTACATATTCTTGGTTAAAACGATATTTAAGAAATCAAAAAATGAAAAGTTTAAGTTATACAAGTGGTTATTAAATCAGCAAACTACCTATTTTCATACTTGAAATTCATTCAGGTGGACAGCTGGAAAAATTGAACCTGTTTTAAAATTTTTTGTTAAATTATATATTTTCGTGAAACCTAACCAGTCTTGGCTATGAGGAAGGATGGAGGACAGAGCCTCAATATATTTTCAATAAATCTTCAATAAGATTTATTGAAAATATATAAATATATTTTCAATAAATCTTCTGTGTTTTGCTTTATCTGTATATCACTTACTATTTTTACCAATCATGGGATCCAAGTCTTTATTTTTTTCAAACATTGTGAGAATAATGCTTAAGTTGTTAACATATTTTTTAAGTGAATCACATACAGAATTCCAGCGAGTTTCAGTAAGAAGTGACAAGTTGTTCCTCCGCTTAATTTATAACTCCAGCTTGATGATTATTTCTTATATATTTTATTATTTGTGTAACATGCTTGCTCATATTTTCAATGTTAAGATCATTTGCTAAAGGTTCAGCATATGAGCAGCACACCCATAAAATATGATAACTTCTCTTTTAGATAACAATACTTGTCTCATTGATTTCATATTAGTTGCATTGTCAGTCACAAAGCTTTTTACTGTGCATCTAAATCTATTGCTTCTCTTGCTAATTGTGTAAGATATTCACCAGTATGTGAATGACCAGAAGTGTTGATTGTTTCTAAATGTTAATTTTATCTGTAATTACAGAGATACAAACTATAGGTTCATTATGTACATTACTCCAACCATCTAAAAACATGGCTACAATTTTCCCATTCATTAAAAAAAAAAAATCATGAATTTAAAAAAATATATCTATATGAAGATTAGTTATATTTGTGAACATAATCTTAGTTTCCTGTTGTAAGTTCAAATCTTTTTAAAAAAACATTAGTTGGGTTTGAACCAACATTTTTTTAATTGGTTTAAACCAATGGTTTAAACCATTTGGTTAAAACCATGCAACCCTGATCTTTACAAACACTATCAAGACAAAATTAGACATTAATTGAAATAAGTATTTTACAATGAATAACAATTTCATAAGTCTACAATTTCTTTTAAATTTAGACAGTGACATCAGACTTTCTGATAATTTTTTTTTTTTAATATTACTTTTTCCCACACCAAAAACCTTGAAAGTTAGCCTTACTTTGTCGACAGTTAAAAGTCTGTTCTGCTTTTCATCTTCATTTTTGTATCTTTGTACAAACTACTGCATCATTCCGATAGCTTGTTCAGAATGATCACTGACAACAATTAACATTTTAGCAAAGTTTTTAAAATTCTTAAACGAGGACTGGGTGCAAGGTGGAAGTGACAAACAGTCTCTCACTCTCTGATTATCCGACCCTATCATTGAAAAAATTAGATATGAAAACTCATTAACCAAAACAGAGAGGGTTGAAAGAGGGGAAAAAAACTGCAGAGGTTGCAAAATTAGATATAAAAAAGGCTGTAGAAAT